TATTTCATATTGAATTATTTAAACATTGAACATCAAGCTTCGACCATTATGGTCATTTAATTACTACTATTTCTTATCGATTGTATTCATATATACTGTGTAAGATTCTTATTGTGTTTTAAACAATTACATGTACGAACATAATATATTATTGACGAAAAATTTTTATAAAAATATAAGACATTGCATATTATATTTTATTAACAAAATATATATTATATATTTAATAACGCTTTTACCTCGTTTTATGTATCTCTGTAATTAAATTGGGTAACATTGATTGCTATTTTTCTGTCGCAAGAATGCGACATGTTTAAAAATTGTATCGTGATTAATAAATACGTAGTAATTTTACCCATTATCTGAACATTAAACGGTAAATATAAATAATAGATATTTTAATAATTAAAATAAATAAATGATTACTTACTGCTGTAAGAAGCGCCGCATCTATAGTGAAACCTTTTGCCAAAAATGTATTTTTATGATGCAATATTTGTAAAGAAAATAGCTGCAACTGTAACATTAGGTCGCAAAATAATTAAATACAGGAATAAAGAAGTTAAATTATAATTAATTACAATTATACTTCAATAAATTTAATCGTGTCGATATAAAAAATAAATAATGTATAGATAAAACAATCTCCTTTTCTCATCTTTACCTCATTCTTTATCTCCTCATCTTTGATATTATTAAGTAGATCATGAACTGTAGTGCTGATCTCTCGCGCTTGATTCTTGCCAGTCTCACAGGCCCATACAAGTAGCATCATTTTTATAACGTAATATGCTATTGGTGAATAAAATATGTGAAGAAAATGCATATCAAAATTAATAAATACTCCATCTTGCCAGCGCATTACATCAGAGTAAATATCAAAAGTGATATTAGTAAAGAATGTAACTATAATAGCAAGGAGTTGCAAACCGAAGATTGTGTTCAGCATTTGTACTGTGTCACTAACTTTCAAATGCCACTTTTTTAAGGCCTTAAGTTTTAATAAGATTTGATTTCTTTGTGTGTGATAAATCAATCCGGGAACACACAATTTTATATCATTTACCATTAATCTGGGCATGTGAACCAAATTGTCATTAATACTTTTGAAACAGGCTTTTAATACACAAACACAATTTACATACAACATAAGTATCTCAAATATCAATATGTAGAGATACAATGAGGACACTTTAACCAAGATGGTGAAAATGTTCTGTTTAAATTTTTTGTTATAAAGATAAATGCTTTCTTGCAGGAAAAAAAGGATTGTACCGAAAATGTCTTTGGCGTGAATTAATCTGGACATTTTCTGATATAACTTCGAGGAAAGTTTCTGAGAGATTTCTGACACAGTCTGTAGCAAACGCATTTGCGGACCGCTTAAGATTTGCGTGATGATTATTATAAAACAGTTTAACACTAAATAATTGATATTTGAAATTCCTGTGATTATTTTTTCAAAATTTTGAGTTGAAATAGAGATCACAATATTGTAAATGAGTATTAACTTAATAACACAGCAAACACAGACAGACACGATGTAGTATAGTTTTGAAAATTCGAAAGTCGAAGCATTTATCTTGTACGGAAATATTCCACAAATGCGGCAAATGATGAAACAGGGATACATTAAGGATTGAAAATCCATAGCGTGAAACAACTGTTGCCTTTTCCACATTTTGTTCTTGATATATCGTCGAATTTTCGAATATGATTAGCGAAAATTTATAAAGAATGACAATTTATATAATGAATTACAGCCTATATTATATACACTTTAACAATATAAATGATTACTAAAGTTATTTTTTTTAATATAATCTTCAAGTACAAGTTTAAATATAATCTCTCAATACAATCTTCAATAGGTATGCAAACTGATTTAGTCTGTACATACCATCTCGATGAATTTAAATTTAATACTGCGATCAGTCCTCATGTAGAAAGACATAACTAAAGGAATCATTTGTTAGTCCTGTAGTTACCATGGTGTTCTTCGATATCATTAAATATATCTTTGAAAATGGATTACAGTAAATGCTGCGTAAAATGTTATAAAGTGTTACTTAAATTATGTATGCATACAGACTTGCTATATCCACTTGAATCAATAATTTAAAGACATTTATTATTAATTAATAATTAATTAATAATGAACATTAATGTTCTATTAAAATACATTATTTATGTGAATAGAAGCAATGGCATCTTTATTTATAT